CCCCCCCCCCCCCCCGTATGAGAACGCTGTGAGGCAGAAGCTTCTCACCCTCTTGAGATAGGTGGAAATAACTAGGACTTTTCTCTTTCAAGAAGAGATGGGGTTGCATGGGCTCAGCTTTCCAACAGTGACTTTTAAGCCGTGTCAGCTTCAGAAATGAAAAGTGGTCGTGTGAATTTCTCCAGCATTTAGAGGAATTCAGAGCCATGGAAGGACTAGCTCTTTTCATACCACTTGACTGGGTAATTCAGAAATGGATTTAGCTAAAGCAGGTTATAGGATTCTGTGGGACACAGCACCGCTTACTGTAAACTCCTGACATTGGTGATAAGCTGAAGCTTCCTTATTCCTTGGAATTCCTTCAGGAAAGAAAACGTCTAAGCTGATAGTTGAAGGGTGATTGCAGGGACTGGCTTGTAACCCACAATCCCCTTTCTGTAGGTGGAATGAGTCGCTTTTTAAAAATATTAACAGGTCCTCAGGCTCTCAATTATCTGATAAAAAGAGGGGTGAGGAAAGCAATAAAAACCTATCAGAGAACTTTTGTAAATTTTTATTTTAATTCCAACCTTCTCTTTCCCATTGTCCTCAACCCCACACCCCACCTCTTTTTAGCAGAAATTGGTTTCCAAACTATTCATGTTAAATGGTTGAATATTCTGCTTCCTTTCTTCTGCCCTGGTGGATAACTGAGTCCCGTAGCTGCCTCTTACTCGATTTGGTATCAGTGCTTTCTTCTCTCACGATTCCTTTAACCTGTCCAGAAGGAAACTTTTCCTGCCTCACTTCCATAGAAGTTTATTTGTAACTCTTTTCTGGAAAGTGTCACTGTTTACCTCATGCAATTATTCTTTTATTCATTCAGCAAATATATATTTATATAAATGTCTTCTTTCCCCTACAGGAGAGAGGTTTCCTGGAGGGCACAGTCTGTATCCGTTCCATCTTCTATGCTTCATAGCACTTTCTGTTAATTTGGTATTTAAAAAAAAAAATTCTTGCTGAATGAGGATGGGAGATGAAAAAGAGGGTAGAATTCACACACACACACACACACATACACACACACACACGCAAGTGCACACGCTGATGTTTTAAATCTCATAGTTTGAAGGTCATACCCAGTGACTGACTGACTCTAGGAAAACAGTCCAGCAGGCTTCGTTGAGTTTAGTATTGGTTACTGGCTCGCTTCACAGACCTGAGACTCAGCGAGCTGAAGGGCTAGGCTGAGCTTCCCAACCAGTGTGTCAGGAATGAGCCCTGCGGGGCTGAGTGGGGCCTGAGACTTCCCAAGCGCCTCCCTCCCTCCCTGTGTCAAGCCAGTCACGTCTGGCTCTGACCAGCTTCATCCAGTTTGCCCAGTGTGTTGTACAAATGCCGTGATCTGCATGGGAGTCATGACCAGGGAAAGCTGGAGCAGTGGCTGAGGCTGAAGCACTAGGCCAGTAACTATCTGTGGAATAGAAAGAAATTCATTGCCTTCCTTTTTTCTTTCAGAGGCACGAATTCACTGGTTTTTATACCTACCACTCAAACACCTGGAGAGACTTGGGTCCAATGGTAGACTCAAAGAGTGGTGGTGTTAGCAAGGACCTGAAAAGTTTACCCTTGTTAATACCTTGAGGGAAGAAGGTCAGTATCACTGCTTTTATGACATGGGATGACGCAGTGTGGTGACAGTTTCTCAAAAGGTCCTCGTCGCCTTCATTTGTAAGCCCAGTGATGATCATGTTATGAGACACCTGCTAAAAGGATTGGCGGAAAAGTTAGTGAGTGAGTCTTATGACTGAAATAAAGGCTGTGGAATCTATTAGATCTTTCTAAGGGGGACGCAGGAAGTGGTCATGGAGAAGTCAGTCAGCTCTAATGAAGCAGCAGCTTAGTTTACACTGCTCTGTGAATTTTCCTCCCTATTACTGCTCCCCATTTTTAGGGTCTGATGTATTGGGTAGAACAAAGTGGGGGCTTGCCTGGTGGCGCAGTGGTTGAGAGTCTGCCTGCCGATGCAGGGGACACGGCTTCGTGCCCCGGTCCGGGAAGATCCCACGTGCCGCGGAGCGGCTGGGCCCGTGAGCCATGGCTGCTGAGCCTGCGTGTCCGGAGCCTGTGCTCCGCAGCGAGAGAGGCCACAGCAGTGAGAGGCCCGCGTAGGCTGCTGAGCCTGCGTGTCCGGAGCCTGTGCTCCGCAGCGAGAGAGGCCACAGCAGTGAGAGGCCCGCGTAGTGCAAAAAAAAACACAAAAAAAACAAAAAAAAAACCCAAAGTGGGCACTCAGTGCTTTTACAGGAGGCTTTAGTCTGGAAAAATTCCTCCCAAAAGGGTGACATCAAGGTTTTGAAATAACAGTTGAGGAAACAGAAGGTTTATGGTAGAGTTTTTAAAAGTTGTTCAAACCTGTAGTACTCGCTTATGTTCTCGTCAGAGGCTTTCTTTGCAGTTACAGGAGGCTGTGTTTGGAAAATTCTAGTGTAGTGACAGAAGATTTGGCCTGATGCATTCTAATCTTATATAAAACCTGATTGCGATTTTTCTTTTTAACTAGAGACATGATTCATATTACAAAAGGCTGTACATATTTAACATATACAACTTCATGAATTTGGAGTTAAGTATACGTTCATGAAACTGTCACCACAATCTATGCGATAGACTGGGTGTGTGGTTTATGAGAATGTTTCAAACAAATAAAAATTTATATCAAGAAAGTTCTGGAATCACTTTTCCCCTTTACATAGGATATGATAGACCTGAATAAGAATTTTAAATATTCAGATCACCAGGAAAGATGGCCTGGAAAAACAGACGCAGAATTTTTTTTTTTTTTAATTACATAGGTAGCAAATACTTGGTAGAAAAAAGAACTTCAAGAAATACAGAAATGTATAAAGTGAACATGCTCCCCCCTTTTTTCTACCCCCATCCTCAGGTCACAGAGGTAAACCACTGTTGTCAGAGAATTTAAGCATCGTATTCTCTGCCACCACTGTTGGCAGAGAATACTTGAGGTAAAATAAGGAACTAACTCTCTATTTCTAAACCAGTTTAAATAGCCAAAATGTACATTTTTACCTTTTTACTACTGTGTCAGCTTCAGAAGCTTCAGAATGTTCGTTAGTTTTGAGATCTTTTTTTTTGTTTGTTTTTTATAAATTTACTTATTTATTTATTTGTGGCTGCGTTGGGTCTTCGTTGCTGCGCGCGGGCTTTCTCTAGTTGCAGCGAGCGGGGGCTGCTCTTGGTCGCGGTGCGTGGGCTTCTCATGGCGGTGGCTTCTCTTGCTGCGGAGCACAGGCTTCAGTAGTTGTGGCTCACGGGCTTAGTTGCTCCGCGGCACGTGGGATCTTCCTGGACCACGGCTCGAACCCGTGTCCCATGCGTTGACAGGCGGATTCTTAACCACTGCACCACCAGGGAAGCCCTACACATCTCTACTTTTTATACTAATCCCAGATTCTGGATGTTCATGTTAATGTATTTTTTTTCCTGAATTGTTCTCACCTCAAACAAGATTGGTGGATGTAAAGACAATTTAGCAGGACTTCTCGAAATCTTAGAATGGTAACAAGAAAGAGATATTTCAATGCAGATTGGCTTTAGGCTGTGAGATAT